ATTTATTGGATATATATAGATATGTTTCAGGCTGTGGACGAGGGACTAGAAACATAATGGCAAACAAAACAAACATGGCTCTAACTAACCCTCATGGATAAAGTGGGGAAACTGACAATTTTAAAGTAGAATAAATACATACAAATATATAATTACTAATTGTGATAATGAGAGAAATGAAAAGAACATAAGGGGAAACTTATTTAAAATTGTAGCACCAGGGAATGCCTGTGAGATGAAGTTACATTTGCGATAATGCTGGAAGGTGAGTAGGAGTTAAGGACAGTTGAGCAATACCCTAAGCAGGAAGGAACCAGGAAAGAAGATTGCCCTTGGAAAGTCATAATGAGCACAGGGTATGGCTGAAAGACAATACTGAGGATTAAGAGGATGCAGGACCTCACTAGCCACAAGAGGAGTCTGAATTGGGCCTCCCTGGTGACAAAGGGGTTAAGACACAGCCTATGAAGATATCCACAGCCTCTGCAAAGCCTCTGCAGCACAGGTTCAATCCTCTACCAGGAAGCTACCCACATGGTACAGCAGACCTCTCCAGACTCACCTGCTGCTCCCTTCAGCAGTGTATTTCACTCAGTCTGCCTGTTCTGTTCCCCATTCTGTCTCTGGTGAATCCTCTCACCCCCCACCTCTGGCCTGGAACCCAGTTCTTGTATGAATAAATAAATATTTTTTTTTTTAAAAAAAAAGAGGAGTCTGAATTGTTTTCTGAGAATAAAGATACAAGTCACAAGAGTGGTTGCCAAAGGGGAAAGGATTGACTATGGCACAGAAAGAAACTTCCCAGGGTATTGGAAATGTCCCATATCTTGATTGGGGTGCTGGTTACAGGGGTATACTTATCAAAAACCTAAATTAATATTTGTGCATTTCACTATATGTACATTTTTACCTCAATTAAAGAAAAAGGATCACTATGGCCCCAGTTACTTAAGTGATGCAGTTCAGAGTATAAATTCCATAAAATTGAAATCATAGAAATTTTATTTTTAGTCTGAGGCTTATATTAAATTAAGGAATCTCTCAGCCCTCAGAGTACTATTTAATTCATTTAAAACTACTGAAAAAAAAGGAAAAGAAAACAACTAATAAAGTAATATTTCTTTACATCATTCCTGTGGAATATATGCTCTAAATATTACATATACCCTAATACGATATCTACCTTTGAGTTCTTACAGCAGACTAAGTCAAATTTTTTTTAAGAGGCATGTATTTTTATTTATTTATGATTTATTTATTTGTTTGTTTTGTTTATTCATGCACTGGGTACAGTCAGAAATGCGGGAGGGTGAGAGAATTCACCAGAGCCAGAGCAGGGAGCAGAGCAGGCAGAAGGACTGAAGTACACTGCTGAGGGGAGCAGCGGGCGGCAGGAGAGGTCTGCGCGCCATGTGGGACCCTCCTCTGGTGGCCAGGGAGCAGCCTGGGATCGAACCCGCGCCGCAGAGGCTGCGGGCAGCTTCGCAACCCAGCGCTCAACCGCTGAGCCACCGGTGAGGCCCCTAAGTCAAATTTAATAGTAGGCTTCAGTGGACCTTACAGGACCCAATAACTGAGCAGCTTTAAAAAGACTGATGCCGGGTCTCCCGGATGGCGCAAGGGGTTAAGACGCAACCTATGAAGCTGTCCACAGCTACTGCAGCACAAGTTCGATCTCCGGCCAGTCTTTTGTCCAAATTAGCCTTCGAAAATATGATGTTGTATGAAACAAAATGATCCTATGTGTGAGTTTTCTTTCTTTTTTTTCTTTTTTTTCCTTTTTTTTTCTGGGACCCTCGTCGGTGGCCAGGGATTGAACTGGCACTGCAGAGGTTGCGGGCAGCCTCGCAACCCAGTGCTCAACCACTGCGCCACCAGGGGAGGCCCCTATGTGTGAGTTTTCTATGAATTTATTTTCCCATCTCTACTGCAGGTTCCCAAAATTCAGGAAATTCTCTTCTGAGTATCCCTCCACCTACCTCCCCTCATGAAGCACAGAACTTTTGCACTAGATAGGTGTAGAACAAATCCCTATTGAATTTAGAGTGCTTTAAGAAAAATGCTTCAATTCACTTAGTAATCTGCCTTCTGGAAGTAATGAGCTGGTAAAAGATGGCCTACAGGAAATAAATAGAATGGAGAATTGGGAAGCAAGAATTTGATTGCATCCAGGTAGAGGGACACCATTTCTAGTAGACTGTAGTACCAATGTGTGCCCACTGGAAGACCCTCTTCTACTGAGCTATCCTACCTGCCACACTCAGTGTTTAGTGGGGGGAGGACTGGCAGAGAATAAATATAGTAAGATATGGGTACTGACCAGGAGAACCCATTTTCTCAGTCCAAGGTACTGGAAGACTTTCCAGGGGACATATAGGTGCACAGAATTCTAAGAAACTCTGTTCCCAGACCTTCAACTGTACCCTTTTGTAGCATAACTCAGGCTATCTCTCTTCATCTCCCTTCATAACAGCATTTTCCCACCTTACAAAGAAAAGTCACACTGAACATTACCGCAATATAGCAATGTCCCAAGTGTGAGAACTTCTATTTGTGAGAACTTGAGAATTTGAATTCTCAAGATGTCAAACAATCACACAATTAGAATGACCCCTTTAATGTTTTAATCAAAATGTCATACGTACTCCTTAGCTTCTTGCCTTCCCCAGACTTAAATGTATTTCTGTTAAGGATGCATCACTGATTCATAAATGGGGTGTATTTGCTTTGCTGGGATATTCAAAAATCAGTATGAACAATGGGAGAGGTGGAAATTCTTGCTTAACAACCTCTCTTCTTTTATCCCTTGGCTGGTGCTAAGAAAGTATTGTTCCCAAAGGAAAGTATAAGGAAAGCAAAGACAGCATAGTAAGAAATATTGAAAAGCGTTAAAATCGTTTTTATGAGGAATTTGTTTTGAAAATTCTCTTCATCTATTATAGCACTAATCCCTAGGATGTGTCACTAGCTGGGAAGCAGACACAATTGAATAACTGAAGCAGAACAACATAGCAAGGATGATTCTCTTAAATGCAACTCAGAAGTTTCCTTGGAATAGCAAATTAATCAGAAGTTTTTGATTCTGACTAAACCCAAAAATAAACATTTTACATAATTTCTTTTAGATTCTATATGGATTATTTAAAATAATATAGTAATCACATGCTTTATTAAATTATATCAAAAATATTTATTCCCTTACTACAGACTATCTGTGTTAGTTTTCTATGCTGGACTGGAGTCCTGGCAGAGTTTAACTAAATCCACTACTTAGGATCTCACAGGTTTAAATCAAAGTATGGTCTGCAGCTTCCATCATAGCTGAAGCTCTTCTCCATGTCCATGCTTAATGGTTGTCAGAACTTAGCAGGTCTGTTACAAAACTGAGGTCTCAGCTTTCTTGTGAGGTGCCAGCTGGATTCTACTCTGCTCCTAGGGGCTAGGCAGTTCCTTGCTTAGTGGCCCTAGACAAGCACCTCAGGACATGGACCTAAGTTCTTCAAAGTCTTCAGAAGGTAACCAAATCAGGGAATAACTATCTTATCTTATTCACAGGCCTTCCCAGGAGGGTATAACAGGATGTGTAACCATTTTCACCTTATTTCCCCTTTTAGCATTATATTACTTTTTTCTTTTTGCTAAATACATAGAAAAAATGTAAAAGTGGTATCCAGAAAATTTAATGGAATAATTTCGGGATTCATCTTTAATTAAAGGAATTATTTCATAATTCTTATTTAACTATTACTCAAAATCAAATATCAAAGATCAATATGCACACATGCATTTGCTTGGAAGACCACTTTTATCATACCTCTAATTTTATAAGTAACATAATTTTAGCTATGCATTATATTCCATTATTGTAAATTAGGTAATAAAAGCCATTTAGGCTTATGATGTCTTATTTGCAATAAAAAAAAGATTAGGGGCATCCCTTGTGGTGCAAGAGGTTAAGTGTCAGCACTGTGAAGCTATCAGCAGCCACTGCAGCATGAGTTTGATCCTCAGTAAGGGAGCTAACGCACATGGCAAAGCAGACCTCTCTTGTCTCACCCACTACTCCCCTGAGCAGTGTATTTCTGTCAATCCACCTGTTCTGTTCCCCACTCTGTCTCTGGTGAATCCTCTTACCAGCCCACACCTCTGGCCTACATCCCAGCTCTTGTATGCATAAATAAATAAAAATAAATCTTTTTTTAAAAAGTAGATTAATTTATATTAGAATAAAGTTGATTTAATCTTATTTGGCTGCTTTTAGTGGCATGATACAGACTTATAAACTTTTTTTTTCTTGAACAAATTTCTATTTTTGAATCTATGTGTGACTTGAACCTACAAAATCAGAGGAAATATCTTGTTCCAGAAAGTATTGTGCTTCTATGCCAGGGTTTTGACTGCCTAGGAATTTTGCCAGTTACCTGAAGGTGATATTAATCTTCATGGTAATTTTCCTTCCATGAGAAAATGGTGATTAAGTGTGATTTTAATTATCTACTTTATTTCTTTTCTTTACCACTGTTCTCATGGAGTCAAGGGATGGTTTACTAATTTACTAATTTAGGACATTTGAAATCCAACTACCTTAACTTTTCATTATAATTGCAACAGATGCTGTATTTTAAAATCCTACCTACCATGTTTTCTCAAGTATATTCCAATATTTATTGAATGCCTTCTATATGAATGATAAGTGATATATTCCCCAAGTTCTATATAGTCAGAAACTATGTATTTTTTGTCTTTGTTTATATTCCATTATGTATTGCAGTCCCCAATATGTAGTAGATACTTAAGAGAATTGAATTAAATGATTGATTGAAAACTAAAATCCTTAAAAGATTATCACCAAATAGGTAAGGTAATATAAATGCATAAATAGCCATTATAGTGCTAAATGTAAAAAATAATCATATAAATATCATCTACCAACTTCTATAAGAATAGAAATATTCAAAAATAAAAAAAAGTTAATATTTCAGGATGTACATAATACTCACAGTGAAGCAGATTTCTCTATTCTCCAAGTGCTGGCCCAATGATTATAGCATACTTTGGTTGTGTTTAAGGGACTTTGCTGTGTCTTTGAACTTGAGCCAGTACCTTCTGTGGAAATTCACAAGGTTAGTACAATGCTTCTGCCCCATTTGTTCTTCAGAGGGCTAGTAGGTATGCCATTAGCACGGAACATTATTAATCTGAAGTTAGCCTGTTAGCTCCAGAGAAATCTCTCCCACATGAAAGTCAGGCAAGATCATTAGACTATAGAGATTATTTTGATCTCTACCATTCTCTTTCAGATATGCAGTAATATTTAGAATGAGTAAATACTGCTCAAGGGGTTTCCCAGTATTAGGAATTGGTTGCCATATTAAAGATTATTACCCATCTTGGTTTTCTCAGTTTGATTTCTTTTTTTTTTTTTTTAAAGATTTATTTATTTATTTATTTATACAAGCACTGGGTACAGTCAGAAGCGCAGGAGGGTGAGAGAATTCAGAGCCAGAGTGGGGAACAGAACAGGTAGACTGATGAAGTACACTGCTGAGGGGAGCAGTGGGCACATCAGGAGAGGTCTGTGCGCCATGTGGGAACTTCACCTGTGGCCGGGGATCAAACCAGTGCTGCAGAGGCTGCGGGCAGCTTCGCAGCCCAGCGCTCAACCGCTGCACCACCAGGGGAGGCCCTCAGTTTGATTTCTTATTCTTCCTTTGAGGTACTAGCATCGAAACTTGACTGTATGAAGTTAAACAGTTTTAGTGATTAGGAAATTTATGATTCAATAAAAAAATTATTGAGTTCCTGTGCTATCTGGTAGGCATTAGGTGAAAAACTGAGACCAAATTGAAAAGAAATAAGTGGTCAGTGACCATACAGTGTGGAAAGGGGTTATACATGTGCACATTCTTATGATATTTTCAAGTACTAATTTTAAAATTCTACTAATGAAACATTAAATAATTTATATAAATTTTAGTAGTATATGATTCAATATGTATATTGGTATATATATCATATATGTAGCTATTGCAAAATGATCACCATAAGTCTGGTTAACCGACCTATCACTACACACAGTTGAAATTTTTTTCTCGTGATAAGAACTTTTTAAGGTCTACTCTGTTAACAACTTTCAAATGTATAATACATTATTATTAGCTACAGTCACCATGCTATACATTACACCCCTAGGACTTATTTATCTTATAACTTTACCTTCTGACCACCTTCAAAGTTGCTGCTTACAGTAACTTACTTTACTTATTTATACCCTTATAAAATGGTTTTATAATAGTTATCACAGTACACATTAAAGAGAAGGCATTTTCTGACAAAGTAAATCTAGGTGCTGATTAAATTGACAATAAGGACTAGCTTTGCTAGTTAGATTAGGCAGTGGACAATTTCTGTACTTATACTGCTCATTATAGCCATAAGCCATACATGGCTATTGAGCAATTTAAGTGTGGCAAATGTAATTAAGGAATAATGCTATTTTTAAATAAAAAAACCCAAATTATAAATTTTATTTTGAAATGTTTTTATTATTGATCTAAATGAAACATATACTACATCAATTTCACCTATTTCTTTTTTTTTCTTTCTTTTTAAAAAAATTTTTATTTTATATATTTTTTACATCATTTTTAATTTTTGCACAATGTAGGCATTGTGCATTTTCATCTTGGTTATAGTTCCTATACAATTCCCACCACTCTTGTTTTGATCCTACTCCCTTCTACCCACCCCCCCCTTTAGTGTGTCTCTGATTTATAGTTGCTTGGTGATTTTGATTTTTACTTTATTATAATTAGTTTTTTTCCTGGTCCCTTATTTAGGTTTTCTAAATTCCTGCTTTGAGTGAGACCATCCGGTATTTTTTTCTTTCTGGCTTATTTCACCAAGCATGATCCCTTCCAGTGCAATTCATGTTGCTGCAAATTGCATGAGTTTATCTTTTTTTGATTGCTGAGTAATATTCCATTGTGTATATGTACCACATCTTCTTGATCCAGTCATCTATTTTTGAGCATTTGGGCTGTTTCCATAGCTTAGCAATTGTAAATAGTGCTGTTATAAACACAGGGATGCAGGTGCCCTTTTGAAATAATGTTTCTGTATCCTTTGGGTAAATACCTAGGAGTGGAATTGCTGGATCATATGGAAGCTCTATGTTTAGTAGTTCAAGAAATCTCCACACAGCTCTCCATAGTGGTTGGACCAGTTTGCACTCCCACCAGCAGTGCAGGAGAGTTCCTTTTTCTCCACAACCTCGCCAACATTTGTTGTTGCTTGTTTTTTTAAATATGTGCCATTCTCACTGGTGTAAGATGGTATCTCATTGTTTTGATTTGCATTTCCATGATTACAAGTGATGTTGAACATTTTTTCATATGCCTGTTGGCAATTTGCATTGCCTCTTTGGAGAAGTTTCTGTTTAGCTCTTTTGCCCATTTTTTGACTGGGTTGTTTACTTTGTCTTTTCTGAGTCTCATCAGCTCTTTGTAGATTTTTGTGATCAGTCCTTTATCATTAGTGTCGTGTGCAAAGATTTTCTCTCAATCCATGGGGTGTCTCCTTGTTTTGGTTACTGTCTCTTTTCCTGTACAGAAGCTCTTCAATTCAATGTAGTCCCAGCATTTATCTTTGTCTTCACAATCACTGCTTTGGGTGATGTCTTTTTTTAAAAGATTTATTTATTTATTTATACAAGAACCGGGGTACAGGCCAGATGCGAGGGAGGATGGAGAGGATTCACCAGAGACAGAGCAGGGAACAGAACAGGCAGACTGATGAAATACACTGCTGAGGGGAGCAGCGGGCATGACAGGAAAGGTCTGCCACGCCATGTGGGACCAGGATCAAACCAGTGCTGCAGAGGCTGCGGACAGCTTCACAGCGCTGTGTTCCACCGTCTGCGCCACCAGGGGAGGCCCTGGGTGATGTATCTTTAAAGATGTTACTGAGGTGTATGTCATGTAGTGTTTTGCCTATATTTCCTTTTTATTTTATGGTTTCAGGTCTTATGTCTAGTTCTTTCATCCATTTTGAGTTGGTTTTTGTGCATGGTGTGAGGTAGTAGTCAAGCTTCATTTTTTTTGCAGGTAGCAACTCAGTTTTTCCAGCACCATTTATTGAACAAACTTTCGTTGCTCCATTGCATATTCTTTGCTCCTTTGTCAAAGATTAGTTGACCGTAAATCTGTGGGTTTATTTCTTCACCTGTTTCTTTTAAATGTTTTTTAGGGTGGCTGCTAAAAAGTTAGAATTACATGACTCACATTCTTATTTAATTGGACATTACTGTTTTGTACATAGATTGAGCTAACACTGCTAACAAAAAAGTATTCAAGAGCCTTGATAAAAGAATTTTATCAAAATAAGTGCTGAATTAGAGTCAGCAATATTTAATAGTCTAATCTTCATGAGATTAAATAAGGTACCGCTAATAGAAAATTAGGTACAATTAATAACTGGTAAGTATTGGTGCCTCCCCGGTGGCACAGGGGTTAAAGTCTCAGTGCTATCAAGCTATTACAGCCACCGAGCCACCGCAGCATGAGTTGGATCCCTAGCCAGGAAGCTAACCCACAAATGAACAGCAGATGCCTGCTGCTCCCCTCAGCAGTGTATTTCAGTAGATCTGCCTGTTTTGCTCCCCATTCTGTCTCTGATGAATCCTCTCACCCCTGAACCTCTGGCTTACACCCCAGTTCTTATATGCAAAAATAAATAAAATAAATATTTTAAAAAATAATAATTGCTAAACTTATTACAGAATGAGAAAGTGAAGGACTCTAATGACCAAAGAACATATACTTTTGAAAGTCAAGTAGTTTCCAGTTATTTGCTTTCCAGAAATCAAAGGAATAATAAAATTGTCATGTATTTGATTATAAAAAATTAATTTCGAAAATAGAAAATTATGTGATTTTGACTTGTAACTAGGAAGTAGTTCAAAAATTGTGTGAATAGCTATAATACAATTACAATTCATAAGACAAATTCACAATTATAGCTATGTATATATGTGAATGGGTTTTTTAAGAACTAATTGATTCAGAACCTATTTTATTCTAGTAATAACTACTATTCATTCCCAGATATTTTAATTGAAAAAAATTAGATTATATTTAGTGTATTTAGTGTATTATTTCCAATAATTATTTCCAATAATTATTTCCAATAATTATTTCCAATTAGTGTATATTTCCAATACAAATTAATTTTTTTCCTTATTTATCAGAATTGATATTATTTTTGGTAAGTTGGATCATATTAATAATTGTAGCAATAGCTCAATCCAAAAGAAATACTTTGAACTTTCAGAGGAAGTTTTTTTTTAATCAAATAGGAATTTAAATATATATATATGTGTGTATATATTTAGGGCCTCCCTGGTGTCACAAGGGGTTAAGCACAGCACTGTGCAGCTATCGGCAGCCTCTGCAGCATGAATTCAATCCCAGGTCAGCCAGGGAGCTACCCACATGGCACAGCAGACCTTTCCTGTCTTTATTTCAGGGAATCTGCCTGTTCTGTTCCCCACTCTGTCTCTAGTGAATCCTCTCACACACCTCCCCCCGCCCTGCATCTCTGGCCTGTACCCCAGTTCTTATATGCATAAATAAATCAATCTTTAAAAACATTACTTATAATAGTCAAGACAGAGAAACAACCTGTGGTATCCATTAACTGATGGACATACACAGTGGAATCTGTACATACACAGTGGAATATTATTCAGCTGTAAAAAAAGAGGGAAATCCTTCCATCTATGACAACATTAATGGAACATGAGGACATTATACTAAGTGAAAAAGTTAAACAAATGCTGTGAAATATCACTTATAAGTGGACTCTAAAGAAAAAAAACAAACATATCTATGCAGCAAACAAATTGGTGGTTGCCTGAGACTAGGATGGGGGGAAGGAGCGAGTAGGCAAATTGTATAAAAGTGGTCAAAAGGTATGAAAAACATGTAAGTCTTACAATACTCTATTACATATTTAAATGTTGCAGGACAGAAATCTTAAAAGTTTCCATCACCTACACAAAAGTGTTACAATGTGTGGTAATGGGTAACTAAACTTTTCCTGTTAAT